AGGTTGCAAGTGAGGACTCGTGTTGTGACGCAGTTGAGTGCTTCCCGCAATGTTTGTCCTATCCACTTCCATCGCTTCTTCCTGATTTCCTCCTCCACTGAAATCGGATTTGTACTCTCCCACAGAAGGTTATTGCTGATGGTTTCTGGCCAACGGATCGGAAGTATTTTGCGTACACAGCTGTTAATAAACACTTGTATCTTCTGGATGATGGCTTTCATAGTTCTCCATGTTTCCGCTCCATACAGTAGAACCGTATTGACATTTATATTGAAAATTGTGACTATGGTGTTTGTTGTTAGTTGCTTTTAGTTCCAGATATTTTTCAATTGCTGAAATTCAGCACTCGCTTTCCCAATCCGCGCCTTCTCATTAGCATCGGATCCACCTTGCTCGTCAGTGATTCTGCCCATATATGAACAGGTTTTTACCTCTTTCAAGGCATTTCCATAAAGGGTGATTTGATTGGCGCATTCGAAGAATCTTGCTTTTCCCTTTGTGTATATTGAGACCGACTGTTGCTACACTAGTCAATGATGCTGCCCAGATATGTGAGGGTTTTTACGTCCAGCTAGGCATCCCCATCAAGAGTAATATGAGTTTTGCATGTTGTATTGTATCATAGAATCTTGCTCTTCCCTTTGAGTGTTTTGAGACCTACTGCTGCTGTTGCTGTAGCAGCTGCTAAACTGGTCATCTTCTCTTGCTTTTCTTTGTTATGTGTGCGATAGAAGAGCCAGATCATCTGCAAACTCTATTTGATAGTTTCATCTCATTGTAGTTCTATGAGATGTGAACTTGTACTGTTGTATATTCATTTACAGATTTTATATTGTTTATGATTGACTCTGATTGACTAACTAAATTAAATTATTCAAATTACTGTATAAATGTGTGATATATATATACACGAAATATTAGTCTTTTTTTTCTTAAAATAATTTTTTAAAATTAAATCAAATAAAAATTAATTACTACAAAGTTGTTGTTTTTTTTTTAAAAAAAATTACAATCATTGCAAGAGAAATTAATTCAATTTTTCTACGTGATTAGACAAGAAATTCTAGTTTAGTAAAAAGTAAATTTCATATTATTATTGTACTACATTGGTGTTACTTTGAAAAAAAAAACAACAAAAGAAATTATGGGATAAAGCATTTCTTTTTAATTTCATTTTATGTATAGAAAAGAATTATGAAAGTTAGTATTGATTTGTATAGATACACACAGATAAACTATGGTGAATAAAACTCTTAGATTCATTATTTATTAGTCCATACAATAATTATGCAAATATTAGGAGTAAGCGATAATAAATATCAGATTAACGGATAACGTTTCAGTCGGTCAGTCAGTTGCAACGTAGAACTTCGTACGTATGTACCTAAGTTCATGTTGCCATACCACATTATTAGCACAGAGACGCAATGGTCAGTTCAAGTCCCATAGTGGTAGAGATAGTAGAAGTATTAACGGTAATGTAGAAGATTAGGGTTTGAAGATATTATTCAAGAAGTATAATTCAGTGAGATAATGTTAGAAAGACGAAGGTAGATGTGCTGACGAATCCAGAAGTTTAAAATTAAAAAGCACACAAAGAGTGAGTGCACCTGCGCCATTGCAAACGATTTTGAGCCATGTCGTCCAAGGTCTCTAACCATTGGCGACTTTCGTCTCGCGGACCCCCACCAGGTAGTCTACATCTACCAACATGACTCAGTCCACTAGTCAGTGACTTCATGGATTTGTGCCATGTTTTGTTCTGGCCGCCCCTAACTTTCTTCCAATCTACTCCTACACTGCAAAACATAGCTCGTCGAGGCAGTCGGTGGTTAGGCATACGCAACACATGTCCCAACCACCTCAACTGACCAAGTTTCACTACTTCATTTATTGACCTGCCATCGTTACCTAGTACTCGTTTCCTAACGACAGCATTGCTTACTCGGTTGTCCCACGATATACGAGCAATGCTTCTTAAACATCTAGGATCGAATACTAGTAACCTACGAGCATCTCCTACTCTTAATGGAGAACGGAGCGAACTGCTGCGCAGTACATCCGTCCTTTGGTTAGCGAACGGATATCTCGCCTACGCCATAAGTGACGCAGGTTGGCTATACACTATCAGCAACAACCTGCTATGGGAGAAAGCAAACCAGATTTCAGCGGAGCAGGAAATCAGGGATAAGCACTGGAAGTGGATAGGACACACGTTGCTGAAAGCAATCAACTGCGTCACAACATAAGCCCTCACTTGGAATCCTTAAGGTAAAAGGAAAAGAGGAAGGCCAAGGATCACATTACGTCGAGTAATGGAGACGCACATGAGAAGAATGAACAAAAATTGAAGAGAACTGGAAAGGGAGTCCAAGGACAGAGTAGGTTGGAGAATACTGGTCGGCAGCTTATGCTCCATTGAGGGTAACAGGTGTAAGTAAGTAACTAAGTAACACATAGCTTTTAAATCGCACTGGACCATTCTTACTGTATATTGAAATTTTCTTTTGTTCTGTTTTTAAAAAAATACTTTTCTTATAGTTCATCGAGATTTAAAACCAAGTAATATACTGATAACTTTGGATAATAGTAATAATAATAATAATCATAATCATAATGCATTAAACAACACTCCAACTGGAAAAGCACGTATTGTAGTTGGAGATTTTGGTTTATCTCGTCCATTGCCAACAGATCAACAAGACCAACAACAACAACAACAACAGCCGCATCAAGATACATTCAATTCTATTGGACCGCATATTTCTGTCAAAATTCAACAAATCAAAAGTCGTTCAATCTCTTCTTCATCTTCATCATCATGTCAAAAAAACACTTGCGTTGAATTCAATACATCGAAAAATGATGTACAATTGAATAATATCAGTACTACTGCTACTACTTCTAATGAAAATAACAGTAGCAACGAGAATAATGTTTTCGGTATAAGCGTAATATATGGTAGCCAAGAAGAGTATAACAATGATGTTGTTAATGATTCCACAGATCTTAATATAAACAATTGTCTTGGTGATGATGATAATAAACATCAAGCAACATTAGATAACAGTGTATGCTTTACTTTTGGTACACTTGGTTGGATGGCACCAGAACTTTGTGAAACAGAATCAGCTTTACATGTGGTAAGTGTTTTACATTTGTGTATAGATGATTATTGTTATTATTTTTCGTTTTCAACACATTATTTCAAATAGTGAACATAAAATGTTCTAGAATATTTTTTTTTAATGTGTACCAAAAACTGATAACCATGTATTGTTGTTCATTGGTTTGAGTTATCGTAAACCTTTTTGAGTGTTCATTCAATAAGTTTACAATAACCAACACTTACAGTCATTTTCATGTTCATTAAGTTGATGATTGTGGCATATTAAATCGTTAGTTTCTTGAGGATTTCTCATTTCAAGTTCTAATGTGTTTCCTAATGTCTGCGATTACTGTTAATATTTTTATTACTACTATGGGATTTGAATTACAATGGTGTTTCTGTGCTAATATGGTATCGCAACTTGAAATGATATCCGTACGTATGAAGTTCTACGTTGTAACTGACTGACTGACTGATATTGGTCTGCGATACTATTGTGTTCGTTACTAAGTATGCTTGAGGCTATTACGAGTTTACCTTAGTTGATAAACGCGAACGAGACTTTTACCAGCGTCCAGGTAGGCTAACTTGAATCCCCAGGCTGAAGTAAAAAAGCTTTGTAAGTGTAGAAAGTATATTCTACAAACACCCAGCAATCACAGTACAATCAAGCATACAACTCTCGTTTATTTATACATCATAGAAACGTCCTTGGGACAGTCACAAAAATAGCACACTAAAATACACAGCAGTCAATGATTTTCCTGGTGGGAAATGAAATCTCAAGGTTAACTGATCAGCCCATGCTAGCAAACGTGAAAACCAAAATAAGGCATTTATCCAGCGAGTTTTGGGGAACTTACATCCCCAACAGATACACAATATCTAAGAACTCCAAATGTTTGGAATAAAGTTTTTTGTGAAAATTGCTGCATGGACCTGACTGACACCCGAGAATGTGAGCCGAAATTGCTGGATGTAATATGATTATGTTGGATAAGCTGAGCCATGTTTATTCATTTAAATGGCTAAAATAATTCTCCAAACACCAATTAACTAGTTTTAACTTTTATTTATCATTCTATGTTTCAATAGAGATGTACGTTTTGATATTTACACTTTCCAGCTATCCGCGTATATAGTGATAATCGAATACTGTGTAGTTTGTCAATAATTTTTTTACCAACTAATATCTAATTATTGATGAAAAGTAGTGCACTTAAATTATACAAAGTTTTATTTTCGAACAATTGGACGTTTGACATCAATCTTGTACTCATTACTAATTATTAACGGTCAAGTTGGATTTATTGGATTTTCTATAAAGTTTCACTGGTAATTTCAACTAAATTACAAATCAGATGGTGCATCCACTCTTTGTGTTCTCTCAAATCCTAAACTTCTGGATTCTTCAACACCTCTAGTTTTGACTTTCTAAACTTATCTCACTGAATTATACTTCTTGAATAATATCTTCTAATCCTAACCACTCCGATTACTTGTAATACCTTTACTGCCTCTACTACTATTGGATTTGAATTGACAATTACATCTCTGTGTGCTGATTTGGTATGGCAACATGAACTGATGTACTTACGTACGAAGTTCTACGTTGCATCTGACTGACTGACTGAAAAATCAGATATCTGATCGCTAGAGGCATCAGATAAAAATTGTCAGTTATCAAAAAATAAATCGAACCATTTGATTGTGGTGCTGTTTCGTTCTCTGAGCTGGACGTTTTGGTTGTGGAACTTTCATTATTCTTCTGAACAACATCATCAGCACAAACTTCAGATTGTAGAAGTGAAGCATTTCAATTTCTCAACGTTTGACCTGTTAGCTTGTTCTGCTAACCTCGATCTTGATTGGTTGGTTTAAGGTAAACAGCAATAAAAGCTCCACAACCACCACAATCATCCACCTGAGCTACAAATTTTCGCCATTATCTCGAATCATTTGATTTCGTCAACTACTAAATCTTATGGTCTACTAGTCTCCGTTGCCTTGTGAAACTGTAAATGCTCTCATTATCCGGTCATTTGTTTATAAAAACACCGTAACATCTAATATCCAGTCTTCAGTTTACATACTGGGCATTCGCATTAGTAAAATTTTTAACAAGTCAAACTAATCATAGTTAAATTGGTGCAAATATGGGAAATTGAGGTCACGGAATTTATGGTGCATGTAATAACATTAACATTCGGGAAAAATAAAGAATCAACAGATCTGGGTCATTCCCATTAGTTTTATACCACATTAGGGAAAGCGTCTGATTATCTCACGTGCTTATCACATGATTGACCAGAAAAAATATGCATCATTAGTTATCTTCATCGTTTAACTTTGGCTTCAGATCGTTCTTAACTAAACAGAATTAACTAGTCAGCACATGATTGTAGTTTTTCTGTATGAATTGACATTGGTTGACTTTATAAAATCGTTAATTACATCATCATTTATTTACAATTTATAATTTTCCAATGTATTAACAGAAACTAAAGTAAACTTACAAAATATAATTAACAATTCATATCATTTGAAATCATGAAACGATTAATGTTAGATCACCATTAGAAACTTGGAGCACTAGACAACCGTTCCATCCTAGTATGGGACTCATCAATGGCAATGCGCATCCAAGACTCCTGCACACCGCAGGATTCGAACCCATGACCCGCGGTCTTGAGCGCGAACGCCTAACCTCTGGACCACTGAGGCGGTATCTAACGATGTTAATGTCTAACTTCGATCAATTCATAGAGTTGTGCAACCTCATACACTGTCTTTGTTAGTGACTGTCTACACTCGGACAGGTTGGACTTCGCTGGTCACGACTTCCCACTAACGTGTAACGTAACAATCTTCACAACCCTATAATGCAATTAATATCATGGTAAACTTTTGATGTATTAAGCAATTCTTTTTTTTTTAAATGGTTTATGAATTTCCATTTTGTATATCTACATGTTGTACAAACAGACTTGTGCAATTGATATATTCGCATGTGGTCTTTTGGCTTATTATGTTTTAACCAATGGTAAACATCCATATGATGCCTGTAATAAAGAATTGAATGATTGTCCAATGGAGAAACACAGTCAATCAACAACAACAACTGTTTGTTCGTCCGTATCCTCGTTGTCGTCATCATCCTCCGCATCGGTTACTACTACTACTACTACTACAGGTGTGTGTGGTGTGAACCACAATGACACTGGACATGAATTGAAATCATTTCGATGTACTAATTTAAGTCGTCAACATGAAAGACAATTAGCTATAGCTGAACATTGTCTACCGAATTTGAACATTTTAACAGAGAATCCAATTAATGTTCATGAAAGTAAGTATAGTATGTTACTTTGGTCATTTGTGTTTGAATGTTGTGTCAGGCTGTTCAACGGTTATTAGTCGTTATAGCATGTAATTTAGAGTAGTAGTAGCCTTTTGAAAACTAATTTACTCAGTATTGACGAGGATGATTTTAAACACCTAAGCGTCGGTACAAAGGGGCACCTAAATATCTGCGCTTCACACAATTCATTGAATTTTTGTGTGGTACTTCTTGGTTGCCGAATTGAAATAAGGCCACTTCCCGAGCCTTTGACTTACAAGTCTAGTCCACAAGTTTTAATAGGTAAAGCAGGATTCTAACGTAACTTTCTTAAAATTTGAACTGTGTAACTACTACTAAGACGTTCCTTATTAGTTTTCACATCAGTTGATTTACATCTTTTCTTATCGAACAGTACTAAGGCATAGACATGTATGATGTTTGTAACTACTCAGTAAAACATCAATGTACAAATCTTAGTAGTTGTTACGCTCGACTCTAGGTATGCTTAAACTATTACGAGTTCAGCTTAGTCGAGTAACGAGAAAAAACATTGATCCAGCGTCCAGATAGGCTACTGTGATCCCTTGACCGAATTGAATCAGCAAGAAGTCTTGATATAGTGTAGAAATTGTATTCTACAAACACCCAGCCAACACACAATGAATCCAAGCACTCAAATTGCGCTTATTTATATTCTATAGAGATGTCCATGGGACAGTCACATAAATAGCACACTAAAATGACTCAGTAACCAATCACAGCCAAGGATTTTGCTGGTGGGAAATGTGATCTCAAGGTCAACTGATTGGTCCATGAAATAAATCCAAAATAAAGACATTTATCAAGCGAGTTCTGGGGATCTAATATCCCCAACAGTAGTACTACAGAAGATTAGTCGTGGCTGGAATAGTTCGTTGATAACTTTGAAACTAAGTGATTCAAGTTCATATTTCATAAGGAGCATCTGCCCTTACTTAAGATTGCGGAGAAAACTTGTTGATGAGTGCAAACTAACATGAAACCTAAGTTCATAGCTTCTTGTCAGGTGCCTTGAACGACCTAACACAATTGTACAATGCATAATTCTATTTCCAACTTCTTACATAATAATTATATTATGACTGATAAAATTACATTTCATTAGTCAGATTATATATAAAGTTTTTCATCAATAAAATTAATGATATGTGGAAATGATAGGCCTGCAATGAAAAATTTATTTATTATTTATTTAATAATGACTTATTTCAAAAATGGCGCTTAACAAATGTTCAAATCAAATGGCATATTCTATTTAGTGTAGCATCATAAACAACAATTATGACCACACATAAAATATATACTGATTGTGATTATCATGTATTTTTATCAACTTTCATAAATATAGCGTACAATTTCATGTCTCTGTACGTATATATATATACTGTGTTTTCTTTGGTCGTATCACCTGTTTAATGATATAATTTGCAATTTAATGTAAACTTATGAGACCTACAGAGGATGCGCTTCATTCAAATAGGTTTTAAATCATAAATAGTCTCGTTAGATTTCTTTGTGTATGTTAAATGAAACAAAACTTCTTCATATTAATTGTTTTATATTAGTTCTTTTATTTTTCAGTCAGTCAGCTACAATACAGAACTTCATACGTACGTATATCAATCAGTTCAAGTTGCCATATCATATTAGCACACAGAGATAGAATTGTCAATTCTTATCCCATGGTAGTAGAGATATTTGTGGTAATGGTGAGGATTTGGCATCGAAGGTAATGATTAGAGAAGTATAATCTAGTGAAATAAATTTAATAAGAGATAAAAGGTCTTGAGGAATTCAGAAGATTATAATGTGAGAGAACAGAAAGAATGGATGCATCTGTGCCATTGCAAACGATTGTGATCCTTGTCATTCAAACTCTTTAACCATCGGTTACCACTGTCTCGTAGACTCCAACCTGGTATTCTCAGTCCATTCATCATTGGCTTCATAGATTTGTGCCACATTTTGGTTTGGCCGACTCTAACTTTCTTCTAGCCTACCCCCAAAGTCAGACGACATCGCTCGTCGAGGCAATCAGTGTTTGGGCATATGTAACACATGTCTCAACCGACTTAAGTGGTAAAGATTCGCTCTTTCATTTCATATATGTATGTATATATATACATGCGGGCAAACATTTACTGAACAGCTAATTCAAAAATGAACGAATACTAAATCAAATACCGAAGAAAGTTTCCATTATAGAGTTCTGGCGCTTGTTCTTTATTACTCACATCAAGAGGCTTCTGAATTGAAGCAGAAGACCGAATGTCCTGAGTTATGGATTCGCCATGATGACGAGTCCCGTCCCAGGACGAAACGACAGTCCAGGTTTCTGATGGTTGTCTACCAAAGAAATATTGTATTACTGTTGTTATCAGTACATGATTGATATGATCATTTTTCTGTCAAATCAGTTGTTCCTGTTTGTGATATTGTCAATAAACGAATTATATCCATTGATAGTAGTATCTCATTAAGCATTGTCTAAGAACTAAATAAAATCTACTATCTACTACTACTTACTCAAGATGTTTGAAATTGATGTTTATGTAAAGATTAAGAAATATGGATAAACTTCAGCGATTCCGATTGGAAAGTTATTAGGTATTCAGGGGAATAAAATGTACTTGACTGTTTAAATCGATTGACGAAGTAGTGAACCTTCAGCAGTTGAAATGGTTGAGATTTGTTGTACGTATGCCCAACAACCGACTGCCTCGATGAGCAATGTTTTGTGGTGTAGGCGTAGGTTGGAAGAAAGCCAGGTGTGGTCAAACCAAATCCATGAAATCACTGACAAGTGAACTGAGTCATCTTGGTAGATGTAAAGCACCTGGTTTGGGTCCGCGAGATGATTGTAACCGATGCTTAGAGACCTTGAATGACATGGCTTAAAACCGTTTGCAATGGCACAGGTACATCCATTCTTTGGCTTCTCTGAAACTATGATATTGAATCCCCATCACCTCTATCTTTCTTTTTCTAAATTTATCCCGCTGAATTGTACTTCTTGAATAATATCTTGGAACTCTAGTCTTCCCCATTACCAGTAATACTTCTACTATGTCTACTACTATAAGATTTGAATTGACAATTGCGTTGTAGCTGATTGATTGACTGACTGACTGACTGACTTAACATTTTAACATGGTTCATAAGTTTCTTTTATTTTTTGAAAGGTAACTTGAATGTTTTTTTTGAAAATTTTTTTACATTAAAACAACTATCTGCATAAATATATTCATCAATGTATTATAGCTGCAAATAATTCTCTTATTCGTAACTTCACCCTTTAACTATTCATTTATCACAATAAAGAAAGCGTTCAGTACTTACTTACTTGCTTACGCCTGTTACCCCCAATGAAGCATAGGCCGCCCACCAGTTTTCTCCAACCAACTCTGTCCTGGGCTTCCCTTTCCAGTTCTGTCCAATGTTTGTTCATTCCTCTCATATCTTTCTCTATTTCTCGTCGTAATGCGTTCCTTGGCCTTCCTCTTTTCCTTTTGCCTTGAGGGTTCCATGTGAGGGCTTGTCTGATCAAAACGAGGCCTCTGTTGTTTTATTTTCCACTGTATGATTATATATTGTTTATGCTATTTTGTTTTTACAATTATAACTAATCCTTACTAATTAACTGAAAAGTTATTCGAAGTCGTTCGTGTTTAGTTCCACTGTTGTTATTTATTCATGTTATTATAGTCACCTTTTAAGTATTGAACATTTACAATCTTAAGATGGTAGTGAAAATTTGTAGCTCAGGTGGATGATTGTGGTGGAGTTCCGTTTAAGGTCTAAGGTCAATAACAACCATTGAAGATTGAGGTTAACAGAACAAACTATGCGTCATACGTGGAGAAATTCACTTCTATTTAAAATTTGTGCTGATGATGTTGTTTCAGCAGAGTAGTAGTCATAAAAGCTCCACAACTAAAAGATCTAGTTCAGAGAACGAAACTCTATCACAATTTTGTAATTTTTATTTGTTAGTTGAGAAAAATTTTTAAACATACTTTACTCTTTGTAAACCTTGATTATTTTTAAACCAAGTTAAATGTTGTGAGTACAACTTAAATATTCACTTTGTTAATTTTTTTATCAAAAAAAATGATTTCATGTGCTCATATTATAATAATAGATTAGGTTACTGAAGGTAACTAACAGAGATCTATGAACTTGATAGATGTAAATATTGTTAGCTTTTGAATTTTTCTATTTTTGAACATTTTTTTTCCTGTTCAATAAAATTCTTCTGTTTAATTACTGGTATATCTTAACAATATATTGACTTTGAAATCATCAATCAATCATTGTTATGCCTCCATTGGAAACCTGGAAGCACTGGACGGCCGTTTCGTCATGGTTTGGGACTCATCAGCAGTGCGCATCCAGAACTTTTGCACCTCACAGATTTCGAATCTAGGACCTTCGGTCTTGTGCACGAATGCCTAACCTCTGGACCACTGGACCGGCATCCAACGGTGTTCATGTCTAACTCTGATTTTGAGCGACTTCACCCATTTGTCTTTGACAGTTACTGACTACACCCGACAGGGTTGAACTTTACTGGTCACGTCTTCTCACTAGAAATCCGAGAATTTCCTCTCGAAGCTATTAGTCACTAGTGAGCACATTTTACGATATTTTTAATTGGAGTTATGGAGATTAGTGTTTGTTGCACATTGAAATCATTAATCTCCATAACTGTAATTGCTAAAATATTATAACTGTTAAGATTATATGAATTATTTAGGAGTTTCATGTTTATTCAACAAAATCTACAAGAATAAATGACGTTTACTATTATATAATGACGAATCCATTGTAAAAATCTCTGTTCTATCGAAGATCGTCCATTCCTTCTCAAATAACCTAGTAGTAACATCCAAGGCAATGAAATTTAAATCCAGTCCTATGAAGATTGTATATTTCCCTCGTTGACGTATACCAACTAGCGGGAAACC